CAGAAGAACAGCACCAACCTGATAACATGCATTCCCTCGAGGGCATCCACTTTCTTAGGAATTGCAGATGATCTAAAATAAGGGAACAAAATAAAGTCTCAGAAACACATATTGTTCACATAATTCTAGACACTTGTCTCTTTGTCGAATGCCAATGTGCATGCATGTGAATGTGGAATGCAAAAGTTAAAACATATTAAAACCAATAATACTTTTGTCCATTAGGTCCATATCCCAGTTCCCCAGATTGTGCATGGCCCCAGCTTATACATGAAGAGTCAGCACCGACAAAATGGTGCGAATTGCCTGAATCCATGCAGCGTAGATGCCAGCCACTGCAGAGAACATCTGAGCTTGTCAAACAATAAATTCTAAAAGTACAAAATAGAAATCTTTCTTAATATGCAAGTTCATATAAACAGTCTGCATTCTGTGACATATGAAAAGAAATTGGGACATACTGCTCTATCACATGAGTTTTTCTCAAAAGAACAGTCCCAAAGCTAAGACGGCACTCTAAGCTCGCTTATTGAAAATTACTTTTCAAATTTTACATCAAAATTAAAACAGCAGTATTCTTTTACTTGATCAAAATTGGAAAGCGACACTAGTACTTAAAGCCTATCATCCAACAGTATCAATGACACAGGAAGTAAAACCTCAAATCCATGAGAGGCTTAGGATACATCCAATCGTCACCACTGTTCTTTATCTTGCCCCACATATAAAGCTGCCCACCTCCTGCAGAAGCAGTAGATTCAACAAAAGCATCAATACTAAGATCCTCAACATATGGATTATGGAATAATCAACTCATGAGCCTCACAGAACTTTATTAATGGACAAATATCCACCAGAGGATTCAACTCAACATCAACGTCCGAAAAATTTGCTTTTCTCAACACCATTATTGACCAGGACTAACATTGATCACGCATTGTCATATCTAACAATGATGAAACACTATGCTAAGCCTTCTAAGGCCCTCACGAAAAATATCAATAACAAAATATGAGTGACAATTGGATCGCAGTATTTAAAACCAGAGTGGGGTTCGCATAGCTTTTTAATATGTCACTGAGAGAAGAATTCACGAAAGCTAGCTAATTTGAAATTAACCATGCTCGAGAGGGTTCAAGTCTCACTCACGTCAATCAAATCCATATAAATCTACCAATTCCAATAATTATGTGTTAGATCCTACTCAGTCCTAGCTCAGGGCAGAAAATGCAATTAGCATCACCATTCTCGAGGGTTAGCTTTGTGAAACTCAACAGCTACCTAGTCAAACAGTGAAATAGTGACAATGATATACACACTATACTCATCAATTAGCCAGCAACTAAAATCATGCACACCTACTTACATTGGTTCCCCAGTATAGAGAAGGACACAACCCTCTCACCTTGAAATTAGGAGGAGCATAACATAATTGTACCTTGACTAAGGCCAGAAATATTCACCCCGAGAAAAAGAACAAAAAAGAAAAAACATAAACAAACAGAAAACAGTACAAAAGACAAAAAGCTGCCACAATTCTAAGCCTACCAGCTGTACATGCAGAATTGGCAGAACCTGCTGAAACAACTGCATCAGGGGGCAGAACATTATGCCTAGTGAAAACATCAACCAACCGTGGAGCCCATTCATCCTTCTGTTCTCTGTGTCCGAGCCTGATACAAAAGCATCAAAACAATCAATTCCATAATACTAACAGATAACACAAAGATAGCAAATATATACAGCAAGCCAATACCTCCCATAACCGCCAAAGCCCCACCTAATCAATTGTCACAGTATAAACAAAAGAAACAAACAACACATCAGATATTCAAATTCGATAACAATCCGAGTATGTTTATTAACAAGAAATTACAGATTGAACATAGTCAAGCTTTGCCACACAACGCAACTTACGTGTAAACATGTCCATTCTTATCAACCGCCACTGTATCGAAGAAAACAAACAAACAGGACTAACACGTTAAATATCTCACATAACAGCACACCATGAAGGAAGCAGGACACAGGAAAATGGGAAGATGAAGGAAAAACCAAATGTAAGAATACCCGTATGATTAGTTCCACAAGCAACTTTTACTATAGTTTCACCAGCAAGAGAAGCTATAGCCCTTGGACGAGGTTGAGCTTCATATGCAAGCTTCACAGAGCTGTCTTTGGTATTATACTGCCAAGAACAAAGGTTGTGTCTTGTTATTACTCAATTCTCAAAGAAGATAGCACAAATAAAGATATAGTCAAGTAGAAAGCAGCAATGTTGAACAAAGATAGATTTAAATTACGTGAATCTTTCAATGTCTAAGCGTTTGTAGATGTTACAGAGGGGAAGGTCAACTTCAAACTAGCGTCTCCCAGAAAACAATTGAGTAGGCCAGAAATTCTCTATTTTCTACAAGACACTAGCTATGAATCTCCACAAAGGTAAGGAAGAAAACAATTCTAATAACACAGAAATGAACGGCAAAAAAGAATAAGCAAATCAAGCATATGAGTTGATTGATGTAGATCTTACCTCATTATCGGACCCATGCCCAAGCTGACCATACTGTGGAAGACCAGCAGTCCTGGGAAATGAGAAATATATTTTTAAGAGCATCAGCATCTATTCTAAAGATAGATTAATGAACTGGAAATACTGAAAATTATACACCAGATGTACACAAAGTCACAAACCATACAATATAGAAGATCCTTCGACAGAAGTCAACCACACGGTAAAATCACCACCACAAACAGTTGCTTTTACATCAGAAACCTGACAACGAACCGGAGATGATTCAACTTCTGCATAAGAAATTGTAAATGGCAGGAACATCAATCAAGGATTTTTCCATGATCCAAAACACACGAAAGGCAAGTGACACAGACAGCATGCAAAATAACACTAATATGCATAATTGCACTTCATGTGATCACAAAGAATTAGCATGCAGTGTCTTCGAGATGCTATACAGCAATGTCAGAATAGTTAAGATTTGAGAAACACCTCTAAACTTTCCCCACACAGTTCTATCCTAGCATTGGCGGCACAGTAGCATTCAAAGTCAAATGTGACTAAAGCCTACTCCATATTCATTTTATAAATAATACGATCCACTTAATGCCCAATCAATTTGCACAATCTGTAACTGTAAGCAGGCTGGATTGTTTTTTCACATTAAAGAGTGAATCCGAACACACTAAAAATCTAGCCATTTTAGTAGAATATGATCAAAAGCAATACTTTAGTCTTTAGCAAGCAGTTGGATAAAATGATGTGAAAGATAATGAACAAAAACAATTATGCAAGACGACAATGTTAACCCAGCGAAGAAGTTATCCTTGACCACAATGCGGAATAACAAAAATGTGTGAGAACTGAAGTCTTGCCTAACAATTTCTCTGGACAGCATAAAAAATACTGATCCAGTGAGTTGCATTCCACCATTCACAATAAAAGTCTCACAATGAAAATAACTTGAAAGAGTAGTGATGACTCACATAGCTTAAGTACACTTCAGATAGGGCCTCAAAGACAATAAATTCATTTCTACCTAAGGACAAAATCATATAGCATGATAGAATATGTCAATAGTATATTAAATGCACACATGAATGTCTTTGAAATGAAGAGAATGCATGCACACACAAAGGATAATAGAAACATGTAAAATCTCAAAGGTCAACTAGATATTAGAGAGAGACTTACCATTTTTTGCAGAACCTGAACCGAGCTGCCCGTGCTTATTCCAACCGAAAGAAAAGGAGAGCCCATCTTCAGTCACTACCACAGTATGACCCCTGCCAGCTCCGGCTTTGACAACTTTATACCTGAAATCACGCGAATGCTAGTTAACCAGGATGAGATGGCAATGTTCAACTGATCAAGCTGAAACTGCATTCATAGGTATTCAATTCTCCAGTAACCATACTTTCAACACTCAATAAATCATAATTCCCATATATCAATAGAAGTACATGTCATAATTCCCATAAATCAACATTTGAGATTCATAAATTCAAAATCATAATCAGATATGACAGACATTCTCCTCCAGCCATTCAACCGAAAGTTATGATATAGAATACAGTAAAATTTCCATCAAATGATAAGGCAAAAGGTTACAAACTGAGACAAATCCGAAACAATTGTAGGCCTATCACGCTGTACTCTGTCTCCATGACCAAGCTGCCCCTTCTGCACATGTTATGAAACACGGATGAGATCATAAATCATCAAACAACACTGAAATTTTGGCTACCAGAGTCCAACTTGCCTCATTGCGCCCCCACGTGTAACAGCGACCCTCAACGTCCAGTGCCACACAGTGACAAGACACTACATTTCACAGCACATGGAGGAAAAAAAAATATCAAATCTTCACACCCGCTCAAAATTAAAGGCGCCAAATGAAACTCACCGCAATAGAGGTTCTCAGACATGTTCACAACATTAAACCGACTTACACATATTACAGCTATAGAACTGAAAAAAGGAAGGAATAGAAATTGAATAAGCAAAACAGAAAATGTCCATTATTACCGCAGCCAGAAGCAACAAATCGAATGTCGATTGCCATAAGAGGTCGCAGTCTCGTCGGAGAAGCAAGGTTCTCCTCCGGCGAAGTCCTCCGGCGGCCCATTGCATCCCACGCCGTCGTCCCGCAGAAAAGCAATTCCCCACCCTGTACCTCCTCCGCCTTCTTCTCTTCCTCCATCTCCCGCCAACACAAATCAACCGCTCAATAAAAAAAATTAAAAAAAAAAAAAGAGATCGAAAATTCCAAACAACCGGCGGCCGAAGACCCTACAAGCGCCAAGCGAAGGGGCAGTGAGAAGATTAACCGGGGAGAACGACGAGCCCTAGATTTTGAAAAAGGGAATAAATTAAAAGTGAGAAACCCTACTGCAAACGCCTGCTACAAGTGGTTGTTTGAATTTAGGTGAATTTTAATTACAATTTAATGGGCAAAAAGAGGAAAAGGAGTTGGGTATGATAAAAGAAAGGAATTCTTACTTTGCTGCTAATTTAAATGACTTTTTATTTATTGGTGTGATGTGATTATCAGTTTATTTCGAAATTTTCATTGAAATTAGTAGACTTTTCTGGCTTTTTTAAAATATATTTGTTTGGCAGGTGTAATTTAAAAATTCCCGCTAGTTTCTTGGCTTGGATATGAGGAGGATAATTAATACAAAACTTTCTTTTTATTTATTTAGGTTCTTTTATTTGTAGACATGTGAAATTTACATATATATTTATATAATGTCCCGGGCTAAAAAATTACCTCCAAATCACATTTGTAAATACTTATGTATCTTCTAGGAAACAGTAAAACACTTAGATTAAGAAGATGCTTGGGTACAAATGTATCCAAGAAAAAATTCAATTATTTTTAACCAATCACTCATTTTAATTCAAATATAATTCAACTTTAAATCAACCTTACTACCTTCAATATTATCAATATAACTAAATAATATTACTAAATCATTCTTGCAGATTACATCAACCTTAATTTCATATTTATCCACTCACATAATTTTAACTAACCATAACTTCACATTATGTATTTCTTACTTTTACACAAAATCATCTATAATTATTTTTTTTGATATTATTTTAATATAAACTCAAACCCCACTAACTACTAACCATACTACTTTTTCAAAATTATTAATATCAAACCAAAAAATCCAAACAAAATCAAAATATTTTATAACCAACCAATCTTTTAACAATTTGTGTCAAGAAGGAAAAATTAGATTTGGTGCAGCTACAGTTTGAAATCATTTCCAAATGTACAATCTCGTGCACGAACCCACAATGTGTCACCCTACCAAAAATCATGCTCACCCAAAATCCCTCTATATATATAATTCCAGAATATGTTGAGCCTAAATGGAATGATCGCATGTTTCGGGATCCTAGGTGTCAAACTTTCATGCTTCATTATTTGGCTTGAATAAATTTTAATTTAAATTTCAATCCAAAAATAATTAGGTACGGATTACCATAAATATATTGATTTATTTATGATCATTTTAAATGTATTAATTGTATTTTAATGTCATTTCTTATTCTAACCACTGAATTGCAAATATATTTTAAAACTTGATAACTTTTGTATTTCTTATCAATTTTATATATATAATATATCAAATTAATTATCTTTTGAAGAATTTCGATTTGACATCCATATTGTATATATAAAATAAATAAATTATTATCTTTATAATAGTAATAAAATTATTATTAAAATTAATTAGAAAATAAAATTATTTATCAATTAATATATTTATATTTAATGTAGTTATATGTTATAAGGTAGAAAATTTATTATAATATAACACATGTAATTCGCACAAGTAACAAGTGTCATACTAAAATATATAATAATATATATATATATATATTTATAAAAAGTATTTAAATTTTTAACCATTTTTTTCATTAATTTTAAATTTTAAGAAAAAAAAAATTAGCAAGCACCCGTGTAATACACGGGTGTTGTACTAGTCAAGAAAACAATATGCATTTTTTCAAAAGCTCTGTTCCCATAAGTTATCATAAGCAATAAGTTGCAACAATTCAAGAATCACCAATTCCCCATAGGCCTCAAAAGCAGTATATTCATACTAACTTTCACAACAAAACAAATGGGAGTGAATCCAACAAAGTACAAAAACCCGATATAGTAATATAGTACCCGACTCTACAAGTTGTAGTTTCTACTTATATTACATACAGTCATACATCAAACAATTACAATCCAACATAGTACTAAAATGATTGTGTTCTATGTATTCGTATTCGCAAATGAATGCAACCAATATGTAATATATGTATGATGTAATTGATAGTTTAAAAGAAACTACGGACGAATCTGAACCAATTAAATTTAGTGCATCACATCACGACTTGCATTATCATTTATCGGACATGAGTTACTATGCAGAGGTTGGAGCAGCTGAGGTTGTAGATTTTGACACATACATGTGCTGCTGCATCTGATTGGGCTGCTTTTGAAAAACGTGATGTTTCGTATTGAGTTGTTGTCCCATTCCACTTGATGCTATCCGTTCTTCTCTGAGCTTCAAGTGTTGAACTTCTGCAGTCAACGCTTCATGCAAAGCTGCAATACAAAATTAGAAGTTAAAAAAACGACTCCTTCGACAAACGTTAATAATTTCGAAAAGAGTGGATTCATGCATAAAATGGGGTTAATTACACAAAACACATATCCAGATAAAGCAGTTCCTTCATTGTTTTTTCTATTTTACAAATTGTGGGGAAAAAAGGAACTGTTTTTTCTATTTTACAAATCATGGGGAAAAAACAAACCATAAGGGGAGAGTCAGTAAAGCATTTAAGGGGCTATTTGCAATTTTTAAAGATATTACGAGGTTCAACTGCAACCTAAGGGGTATTTTTTGTCATTTACCCCAAAATGATACAAGCATATGGGAGACCTGCAACATATATCAGCGGACCAAGTCCAAATCTACAGTCACGAGTGACAGATTAGAGTTATCTCGACTTATCTCAAGACAATATTTTCTACAGACAATAGTCTTATTTTTATAATAAAAAAACAATATTAAATGTTATTTTAAATTGTTCCACACGATTCACGGGAAGTATAGAGCAACAGTTAGAACTAAATGCTAAAAGAAGTACAAAAAATGTTGCGTAAGAACCCAACAAATGTATAGTGTTGTATTTTCGCAGAAGTTTTCTTTATGTGTATCCAAGTAGGGTAGAATCAAATGAAACGTGGTTTGCCCAAAACACGAAAAACAATTTTTTCAGAGCAATTAAATAATATGTTGAGCATTGAAGAAATAATTAAATGTAGCTTAGGCTGCATTTGGATAGTTCAACTCAGAATGATAGATCTGGGATCATCATTCTTAGAAACAAGTTCAAAGGGAGCATTTACAACTATATGCTTAAGCCTATCCAAAGGAACACAATTCAACTGCATCCTAATATTATATTGGTCATATGAAAAATGCCAAAATCATAAGTATAGGCAGGCATCTGAATTTTCAGAATTCAGACATGCTCTACCATAAGGCAGATATATGTTAACATGAGAAACCAAATTCCACGCTCAAGATGAAACAAATGCTGCTGAAATTTCATGTAGTTTCTGGAGAAACTACACGTTTTGCAATGGTAAAGTTGCAAGACAGTCTTGAAACTATAGCTAGACAACCTTCAAAGAGCTTTATAAAAACTTTAAGTAAAACATATAGTTGGACTAAAGAAAGTGCCCCAAAGAAAACAAAGGAAAGATAATCTAGGAAATCGGTCATGTACTCTCACAACTAACTATATGTGGAGGGAAAGCCCTAAAATATAGAATTCATACATGTAATATGATATCAAGCCATTGTCATGTTCCATTGAAATATCCTTTAGCAGTGATGGATTTAAAGGGTGGTGAGTGCGTAAACCAGTACAATGTAGCGTATAAAGAATATAGCACAGGACATTTAAAAAGAGATCTATATATATATAAAGAGGTTGTTGGAAAAATACATTAAAAGAAAGTTTGACCAAATAAATATAATGTTTGACTTACTATTAATGGAAAGTTCAAAAAATACATGTGAATATTTAGTAACAAAATCTGAATCCTATTTTTTTGTAACTAATTTGGAGATTCTTATGGCAAAATTTGAATTCCATTATTTTTGTATCATATTTTATATTTTGTACCAAAATTTAAATCCTATATTTTTTGGTAACAAATTTGGAGATTCTTATGCAAAAAGTGTGTCAATTATTTATGACAACAATTCTAAATACAAATTAACTTAAAAACCGTACAAATTGGATACAAATTTTGGAAACAAATAGTTGTATAATTCTTAACTAATTCTTCCAATCTTATTGAATAATTTTTTCTTTTAAAAAAAAGTGTGTAAATTGAATAAAAATACGTGCAATTTTAATTTTAGAATAAAACTGATATTTGAACGAGATGTACAATCAAAATTGTGTCCACATTTTTTGGTAAAAAAAGCGGTTCATCTTAGATATTTAAAAATTAAAAAAATCTTAAAATATCCTTAAATATTTAACTTATTTGAGATCAAGATTTGTTAGGTCTTTTTAAGATTAGTTATGATTTAAAAGAAAAAGACATCATACAAAATTTCACTCTAAATCTCACATTCACACTTAAGATTTCATAGTATTCCTCTAGAATTTGACCATCTTAAAAGTCTCAAATCTTAAAAAATCTCAAAGTGGCACTCAAAATCCTAAACGAATACATATTATTTACCTATATCGTTCATTTATAATTATTATTTAATATTATTTACCCGTGCATCGCACGGGCCACATACTAGTAAAACATAATAGTTGCAAAAAAATGCAATACACAGAAGGGTATCCAAATCCCGAACATCAGAGCAGATGAATCCAGCCTTGTACATAAGGTACAAGTTCATATGCCCTGGGTTGAGAATAAGTCATAAATTAAAGTTTTCAGTATTTATTAACAGGAAAAAACTACTTACCATCCCTGATCTGTGCTTGTTGTTCCATAGCTTGAACCCGGAATTTCAACTCATTATTCTGACTGGTTAACTCAGCATATTCTTTCTGTAATAGAGAAATAAATCAAGTTATCACATTTCTAACCCCACTTTTCTTGACATACACAAATCCTACAACTTAAAGGGGTGGCCACACTAGTCCACTATTTATAAGGCTTGGCAATTTAAAAACTGAATGAATCCTAGCACATCAAGGACTCGTTGTCTGGAGAGCAAATCTCTAGCAGGATATCATTCCATTACCCTCAGGAATTTTCAGTTTTTCAGCTGAGCTACCATAGAAGGAAAAGTTAATTCTACATGAATTGTTAGGAAGGATAAATTAAATATGTGTGAATCAAATCAATCAATATATTGTTACTTGAGAGATAAGAGAAAAGCGAATGGATAGACCTCTGGAGTCTGGAAATAGCCTTCTCTTGGAACAATAAAATAAAAAAAAAATTACAAATGAATCATTGTCATTAGCTAATTAAATACATCACTTTGCTGTATTGTTTCAATTAATGTTATTAATTAAAATGTGAGAAAAGAAATGAACTAATCAAGAATCAAAAATATTTTTTCAAGAAAAAGCAAGTTATATTTCAATTAAGTTATTGTCACTTTCTCACCCCAGATGATGATTAGAACTTATTACTAATCTATAACTTACCGTTGTCTACTAATTGTCGTTAAGATACAACATTCAAAGCATCCACAAATTTTAAATTTGGTAAAATAATATATCTTGAAACTTTTCTCTCTAATTGATAGTATTTTTCCAAAAATAAAATAATTTAGTTAGTTATGAATAAAGAAAAATAAAATAACTTAGTTAGTTATTAATTTATTCATAGTCGAATTACAAATAACGATGTTAGTTATGTGTAGAAACTAAATAAGTCAACAAAGAACTATAATTAATTTTATATAATTGATTCTGTAAATAACTAAAAAAAAAAAATGAACACAAGTTTCCTTTCCCCTTGGCACACTTTTTCCCACCTGACCTTTTGATTTCTGCTTGTGGGTTTTCCACTGTCTACATCATTAGAACATCCAGAAAGTATTAAGTACAAAAGTTCCCACAATCTGAGGAGTCCCAGGTCGTTATCTTAGACTTTCCTTCCAAACACTCAAGTTCCTAGCCTTTTTTTGCTAAGCAAGTGCCATTTATTTTTCTACACGACTACATCACTCTAATAAAATTGCAACATCTTTATATGTCTTATGTAGTAGATTAACATCACCACCCGCTTACTAGAGGTGAAAAACTGTAATCTTATGCCAGATTCAGTACCTGTAGAATAGTGACTTGGGTAGATAGTGTGGTAGCCTCCGTTTGCAGCGTCTGCACCTTATGTTCCAATTCCGAGATGTACCTCACCTTCCGCTCTTTGGACCTAGCAGCTGACTGCCTATTTGCCAATATTCTAAAAAGAAAGGGAAACACGAATAAATCCCAAAAATAAAACCATACTTTAATATCCAACAAAAGCCACTCGAAACAAAATCATACCTTTTTACACGTTTTGGGTCCGAAACTGCAATCTCCACTAGCCTCTCGTCTGCCATAATCTTCTTCAGCTCAGCCTCGCTAAACTCCCCATGCCCGAACTCCAACCCAACCCGACTCAACTTCCCACAATCGGCTGCCTGAAAATTTCCCAATTCCTCTCCCGAACAGAATCTTCCCACGCCACTATCCATCGAGAGGCTTCGGTGGTGCCGAGCTTGCGGCACAACCGAATTCATATTTCCAATTATACCACTGCCTGCCTTATCCCCTATTCCGGGATTGTCCACATGATCCAAATTCATCAGAGAGTTGACCAGCTCGTCCACGACCTCCCCTTCCGACTTCACGTGGCCCGTTTCCTTCATCCTCAGCTCGACTGGCTTGCTATTATTTCCGGAAAGTTCTATGGAGCTGCAGTCGCTGCTCGACCGGTGGTGGCCCCTGAGAGGGGGAAGGCCGTCGGGCGAGCCGAAGGTGAAATGGGGAGGGACAGCTGGCGGGCCGCGTGAGCTGACGTCCATGTCGTCTACTGTCACATCTCTCGAGTTGGAGAAGTTAGAAGAGACGATAGAGGACTCCGTCGGCGGGAAAGGGCTCAAAGGGGGCAAGCAGTGGTTCGTGAAGAAAATGGGTTGGGACAGAGAACGGGCGTGGTGGTTCGTTGGTTGTTTCAGATTTGGCTGAGCCATTTGGGACATTTACGGAACTGTTGAAAACCTAACAGATTCTTTGTGATTGACGTTGTTTCAGGAAATCACACACCAGACAGCAAGCAAGAAGCTTTTAATAAAATAGTATTTGAAATTTCAAAAACCCTAGGGAGTAGACATAGTGAAGAGTTGATATTTGGGAAATGTTTCGATTTTCAAACATCAAACTCAGTTCATCCACACCTGAACTTTTGAAAACGCCAAACGAGAAGAAAATGCGACAAGTCAAGCTCTGTAGCTCAACCCCGAGCGGATTCAACAAGGAAGAAGGTAAAATGACGAAAAAAAATTAACGAACGAACAAAGAGCAGCAACAGAAGCGCGTACCAGGTGAATTCAAACACAGAAGAGAAAAACCAGCTCAAAGCTCTGAGTCGTCGAGTGGCAGAACTCGTTGTTTTTCAAATGGGGGCAAAGGCTTTTCGCGATTTATTTCCCGCTGAAAATGGCGTTGATTGCGTTGAGGAAGAAGAAAAAATGATAAGGGTGCGTGTGCGTGATGGGATGGGTTTGAAAAAGGGACAGAAAATCTTTGGACTGCATAAACAATGTCTAATAGAGAGAGAGAGTATTTTTTTATTATTATTTCTAATTTTTATTCTTCTGGATTGTGCGTAAAAAATGCATTATTAGGAAGTATTTGGTTGGTGGAAAAACTCGAAAAGGAAGGAGGAGAGGATTTTTTTATATTTTCCTTGGGAGATTTGAATAGAGAGATGAAGAAAAATTTTAAGTTAAAAAATGTCCTCTCCTTCTTTATTTTGCTCCTCTTTAAAAATGGGAAAATTTGGAGGGGAAGGAAATTTTTATATTATTCAATTACAATATTACTCTTATTATATATAACTAGTGAGAATCCCGTGCGATGCACAAGGTTTCCGTACTTTAGAATTTTTTTTTTAAATTTTATTTTCACAATATATTAGCATGCTGACCCGTTTATATTATTATAAATAATATTTTAACATATATATTTATTTTTTAATACAAAATAATAATAATTTTACATATTTTGGTTCATCATAATACTCAATTATTAATCTATCAAAAAATCTATTATCATATAATGTTATTATTATTTATAACACTTGTAGAAGTAATACATTTGTTATAATGATAAATATGTAGTGTATATTAATATTATTTATTGATGTAATTAACTTAAAAAGATTTAAGCAAATTTAATGTTTTGTAGGAATGTGATTATATGTAAGATGAGATAAAATGAAATGTACCAAAAAAATCTGCTTATGATATTTTCCTTTAAATGTTTGAATGAATTTGAAATTTAAATTATAAATCAACCTCCAGTTATTCAAATAATTTTAAAAAAGTTACCAATTATAGTAAAATGTACGTGACAATATATTATAAATATACATGACGTCAGTAATGTTATGGATTTTTAGGTTCCTAAAATATATATTGTTTAGATATGAAACTAATTAACTTATATGTTAAGATAATATATATAAATATATGCATTGTACGAAATATCCACGTGACAAGTTATTATATTTGTTTGTATTGTTTATTATATTTGTATATAAATATATTGTTTATATATTTGTCTGTATTGTACGAAAAATTGTTATATTTGTTTATATATTGTTTAGATATGAAACTAATTAACCTATATGTTAAGATAACATATAAAAATATGTATTGTATGTAATCTTAAACGTGTTTGCTAAATTTTTCCCCTAAAAAATTCAAATTACATTTAGACATGTTTTGTTTGAAGTTTGAAATTTAAATATGCATCTATATAACAAATCCCATGATTTTTTCTAGCATTAAATGCTACTTGTTTTTTTATTAAAAAAAATAAAAAAACATACAAAAAATAGAATGCAATTAATATTCCCTATTTTTTTGCTTACTATTTTTAAAAAATGTTAATTCTTATTATATATTGTTGATACCAAGATAGAATATCTTGAAATAATGGTTAGATTAAAAGAATCGTAAAGTCTAAATCACGGATTTAGACCTTGGCCGATGTAAAACAGAATATACGGCACCTCGGAAATATCATCTCGGTACTTACTCGATGTTCTTATATGATGCTGTGAAATAATATAGCATATCTCCAAAGGTCGTCTGCACAAGTCGTTTTAACCTCGAAAAGACCATCTCGGTTGAAAGAACAACTCTTCAGGAAGTCGTAGAAGACTGAAAGTTTATCAAAATACCGACGTTACAAAACAAGCCGACTTCAATCCGACAGATGTGACGCTTGTCACACATATAGAGGCGCGCCCATACTCATCATTGCCTAAAAGGCTCGTCTACGTCATCGCCGCCCCTAAACTGTCAAATCTCCATTAAAACGAAGCTGATTTGCCTTGGGATGTGTGCCAAACATAACTATAAATAGCAACTTCGAAAACAATACGAGGATTCGGCAAATCTGATAAACACATATATATTGAACTCGGTTTCTTCTTTGTTTACCGACATGTTGAACACTAAAAAACCGACTTCTAAATTCTGTAACCGACTTCAAGAATTTCAATTGAAATCTCATTTTTTGCAATCTTTATCGTGATTTTTATTTTAATTACGTTGATTAAATCCGTTTATCAACATTTTGGCGCTAGAAGGAGGGCTCCATAAGATATTTGGAGTTAATTTTCGAAATATACACACCACATCTCAAACAATCAAGAATGTCGCAGTCCGGACAAGACAATCCCACCACCATGGGAAGCGCCGTTCGTGTTGTTGAACCACCAACCGGTCAACATAATCCAGTACCTATAATGCCGGACATCGCCACGCTCATGCAAAACCCAGAATTTGCTCGAGGATTCACTGCTTTGCTGGCCCAAACCATGCCTGGGCCATCACAAAGGATACCAGGACAACCTTTTGCTCCTATAACTCCGGCAAGACAGCAAGGTCCTCCCATACAAAGGAATAACAACAATCAAGCGGCGTCACACGCCACTTCACAACCGCGCGATAACAATCCACCCCCTCCACCGGCGAACAACGTACTGCCGGCAGAGATGAACCAGCCTGAAATGAATCAACCGGAGATGGTTGCTGAAAGTCATCCCCGGCATGTCCCCAGAATTCCTCATGCAGCTCGTTCGTTGTTTCAACAAACCGAGAATCCAGTTGACCTGAGAGCGCAAATTGAACGTAATCGTTGCGCTCGACGTAACGTTTCCGAAGTCGAGGCGTTAAGAAGAAAGGTGGCAGAGTTGGAAGCCCGACAAACCACTCAAATCAGGCCTTATCAGCATCCTCACGTGCCGGAACCAGGCCATGTCCATATGGAAACCGATTCTCCTCTGGCACCCGAGTTGACCAGGGGTCCATTGCCGGGAAAAGTCAAAGTCCCCCAAATTGGCCTTTATGACGGAAACGCTGATCCTGACGCTCATCTCGGACATTATACATCATGGATGGATTTGCATGGTGCTGATGACGCTCTACGATGTCGTATGTTTTCCCTGACCTTAGGTCCTAAAGCTCAGAAGTGGTACTATTCACTACCTGCCGAATCAATCCGATATTGGGGCCAACTCAGATCGGCTTTCAGGTCCCATTTCATCGGAGCCCAGATTAGCTTAATACCTAAGGAGTCAATTACAAACATAGTCTAGAAGGAAGATGAAAGTCTAAAAGATTATATTGCGCGTTTTAATGAACGCGTGCAAAACATGGAACCTTGTCACCCTGAGACTCTCCTTGTCTCAGCAATATCAGGGTTAAGGCCAAGATCCATGTTTCGTTGGGCGTTATGTCAAAACAAACCGAGCACTTTTCAAGAATTCCTCATTCGAGCTCAACAACATGTTATTGCGGAGGAGTCCATGTCGGTTCCTAACTTTAAATTCTCTCCGTCAAAAGGACAGAAACCGACTTTCGAGAACAAGAAAAAGAAACATCTCGGTAATATGCCAAAGAACCTGTCCTTTCGGGAGCCATACAAAAACGAACCTAACGATACCGACGTGAAAGCTGCCAGGAAACAATACAAGGAGGATTTGACCACTAGATATCGATCAATTTATTCGGTTGGTGCAGCAACGGTTTATCAAGAAACTAAAGGAAAAGGAATTATTCCTGAAGCCCGACCAGTGAAGACTCCCGAAAGCCAGTTGGACAAATCGCGGTATTGTGATTATCACCGATCCCCAGGTCACAACACTGACGAATGTCTAAGTCTGTTGTCGGCTCTTCTGAAGTTGATTGGAAATCCCCAAGTGAGAAAATTTACCAAACATGAAGGAAAAGAAAGACGACAAATAGCTCATATTCCTGACCGAGATGAAGAAGACGAAGAAGCACTGAACTCAAAAAGAATTCGTCTACAACAAGGGGAAAAAGAAATATTCATGTTCGGGTCAGAAGACTCCAAGTCAGTCATCGACCGACTTGGAAAGAGAAGTAGGGAATTCCAGAGTCCCAATGCCGACAACACTCCTCAAATCCCAATTCGGTTAGGTTCCGTTCCCCGAATTAACACTAATCGAGAAGAGTCGACGTCCTCACGTCGGCAGGCCAAAGCATATGCTAGAAGGGCATACAACTCGGGGAAACAAGTAATGACTACCGACCTGAGGGAAACAATTAACTCGCGCACGTGCCCGATCACTTTCACATTAGAAGATGCGAGCTTGTTTGATCACCCTCATTCCGATGCGTTGATCATAACCGCCCCAATTTGCGGGATTCCAGTTCATCGTATAATGGTGGATACCGGCGCATATTCAAGTATCATTATGCTTCAAGCCTTTCAGAAGCTTGGACTTGATTCAGCCGACGTCCGTCCATGCAACGATAAGATACACGGATTCAACGGGAGCGTATCTCTCCCGTTGGGAGAAATCACTCTCCCCATCAGGTTTGGACATGGGCAAACTTTCAAAGTTATCATGGAAAATTTCAAAATCATGGACATCAACAACGAATATAATGCCATCATCGGAAGGACAGCCCTATACAAATTGCGAGCTGCAGTGTCCATTTTTCATTATGCAATCAAGTTTCCAACCGCTGACGGTGAAGGGACTCATTACGGCGATCAATTAGGAGCTCGAGAGCTAATCTTAGCAATTCCTTCTCGAGAAATCCATAATTTAGAGATGCACGTCGAAGAAGAAGAAGAGATGATCGACTGTACCCGAGTTTCGCGAAGTTCGATTCCTGAAGACGTTCAAAACACCGATCCCAGAAGTGTTACAACTCTATCGGATGTTCAACCGACATCGGTGGTTCTGACTCCAAACCCTCCTGGAATTATCACAACTCCATCAAAAGTTCAGCCGACACCAACGGTTCTGACTTCGAATCCTTCCAATTCAGACGAGCTTGTTGGAGAAGATCTTACCCGAGATAGAGGAAGGAGACCTGGAAAAGAACCAGTTGTGGAAGAAGACGAATTAGATCCGAGAAGTCAATTTAAGGAGAAGAAGCCAGAAAAAAGAGCCGAACCATCCGAAGAAATAGAAGTCATTTATGTTGATGAACCCATCTGTGACAAGCAACTTCGTATCGGGGCCAACCTCCAAGAACCTATTCGAACCAAACTCATCTCGTT